GAAGCTGGAAGGGGCTCGATATAAATGCCCGAACTAAATATTCATTCCGCTCCCCCGGGAAAATACTTCGTGGCAAGGTGGGATGTGTATAATTCTTTAGCCATTACAGGTTTCTCTAACATTATCCCCTTTCCCTCAAAGCTCTAGTTCGATATCTAGGAAGAGGATATTCCACTGGCTTGGGGAACCCCCCATTTTTTGTGCTCCACGGCCTCTGTCATAATGATATTCCGACACGACCTACGGTCCACCAGATATCGAGAGATTCATTATGATAGCACTACTGCACACACTGTTTACAGAACATCCACTACGGTCTTTTCAATTAGTAGTAATGCGATGAGCAACCCCCGGTTCAGCGAGAACACACCAACCGGGAAAAAAAAATCCACAATACGGGAAAGGAAATGTACTATAAAAAAAAACGAGAAATTCGACTATTCCCCCCCCCAAAAAAAAAGTTTGCCCCATGCTTCACCTAATATAATAAACTGTTAAACAACATTTATCGGCGCTAGGTGTTCATGGTTTTGTTCTTGATCACTCCCAATGCCCCCGATGATTGCCGCGAGGCCCTACAGCCACGTATTATGAAAAGTGTCGCTTTTGGAAATCATAAGATAGGACGGGTGGAGTGTGAAAGTTTTTCTCGTTTACTCTATCTATCATACAAGATTCCCCGAGGGTCTCCTAGAGCCCAAGGGGCCGTGCCAACACTGGTTCTATATACCGTACTTGTAAAGGCAACCCTTAGGTAAGACCGCAGAACGGGGGGTATGGTGCCTGACAAGAACACTTAAACAAAACAAGTATACGGAGGGAGAAGGGGAGAGGGTTGTAGATTGCACGGCTGATTGATTCGCTCGGATCATCAAATCTCTGACCCTCGTTTAGAAGAATGTAGTGCCTGTATTCACCGGCACAACTACTTATTAAATTATGAAGGCTGGGCAAGTTATGATGGATACCTCCTATCTATTACCGCGGCAATGCCCAATACCGATGGAATAGAAAGACCTTGTGGAGCATGTGTTAGACAGGAAAAAAAAAAGAAAAAAGGAAATAAGGAGCGAAAAAGGTTAGTCGTAGCCAAGCTTACATAAATGTTTGCTGGGGAAATTGTTAGAAATCGCGAGGTGCTGCTCGGCGTGCTCTCACGATAGGTTGTTTGTTTGTTCGCATAGTCTCTGGGAGCGCGCGTTGGTTTCGGGCGCACGATGGCTTCGGGTAAACTTTGGCTTTTTCGGGAAAGCACTTTGGCCGCGGGGATACGCGGGAGTCTTGGAGAAAAATGCATCCACCGGAAGGACAGCGGGAAGGCCGTAAGGAAAGATACAAATGGTGGTGGAAAGCCGCAGAGTTTGATGCTTGAGGTATCGGATGTCTAGAGGCTATGGACAAGAGGAAGTTTGTCTTTCCTTTGTCAGCTTTTCTTGTTTGTTAGTGTGTGGGAGACGTACCTGGAGGGTTAGAACTTTATTGTTTTGTCGTTGATATATACTCCTATCATTCCCGTTAGTTAGTTGAGTATGAGCGTTAGTGAGAGGTTGACGAAGTAAAGAGTTTTCCCCCCCCGCGTGAGTTGTGCGATCGTTTCGCGTGAGAGCTTGGCGTTTCGTTTCGTTTCGTTTCGTCGTGTTCGTTGCGTGCCATTGGTTGCACCGTTTCACCAGGTGTTTAGTTTCACAGCCTATCATTCGCTCGTTCCCCCTCGCTTCGCCCTTCGTTTCGCTATCACGATAGCCTTCGCTGATCCGACATTCAAAAGAAACCGCAAAGAAGATGGAGCAGAAACCCCAGAGTGATGTGAAAGGTGTTTAGTGTCGGAAGAGTGGGAGATTAAGAGGAATTTTTCAGTTCTGACACGACACAGCCAAAGGTCCGTCTTCGAAAGCGGGAGAACAAGTGATGTTGTGGTTTCCGTGGCTAAGGCTCAGGGTATTCAATGGCTATGACTGCTAGCAGAACGAAGTCTGCTGCCGGCCAGATGAGTGGGTCAAGCCTTCGGCCCCCAAGGGGTGATTTCGGAACCGAAAGGGTCCATGTAGGACGTGAGCAGAATCTCTATTACGATCTATCTAATGATGTAGGAAGGCACAGGGCATGGCTCTCGATTCAGCCCGACCTTGAACACCGCCCAACGAAAGGAACAGAATCTGAAGCGATGGGGATGTCAAAAGAGGAAGTCGGAGGTTACAAAGACAACCTCTTCAATACATAGCTCCGGCTACCGATTACAGTATCAAACAATCCGCACCAATAATTACCGATAGTTCATCTCTCTTAATAGTTCCACCATGTCTCCGATATCTCCCGGTAGAACTTACCATCTCCGGTGGAAACTAGAAGCCCCACCCACCTTCGTCAACCGCCGTCCAGCCAATAAGGCTCCGGAGTGCCGTCTCGCTCTACCGATCTGGTCATCGTCCTTGTGGGGAAATACTGTCATCCAAAATCGCAAGTCAACACGGAGGGAGTGTTAACTCGTAGTCTCACCCAGTCTTGATATCTTGCTCCTCTCCCCCCCACCCCTACCCGAGTGAACACTAGTGTTACATGCCGGTGCTGAGCTTGCGGAGGTAGCTCTTAGGTAAGATGGTGGGACAAGATATACATGACCCGAACCCCCCAATGGAACAAGTATGATACACGAAGGAACGGGGGGTGGGGGGAAGAGATCGTGGGCTACCTGGCAGACTGGCCAGTCCGGTCTGATCATCAAATTACCATCTTTCTTTCAGAAGCGCGTAGTGCTTGCATTCACCGGTACTATACAGCGCTATTACTTGTTAAATTACAAAAGGCCAAAGGGCCGTACCCGACGCCGCCTGCTTACTCTCGCGGAAATCTTCAATATCGATAGAAAATAGTGAAATCGAATAGAGCATATATATAACCGAAAAAAAGGTAGTAAGAGAAGAAAGAAAATAAGAGAGAACCCTGGCTAGTTGCACCAGAAAGAGCAGAAAGAAAAGTAAAAGAAAAAAAGGGGGGAAAGTCTGGTATCGGTTAAGTCTATATAAACGTTTGCTAAGGAAACCACAAAGAGCATAGGCAATAAATGAATAGGAACCAGTGAGTGACGAAAAATGTGTAGCCTCTAAGAAGTCTTTTTCCGTTTTAACTTGATATGACGGAATATTCGTCTGCCAAGACCCAGACAAAAGCGCCGGCGCGGGGGCCGTGGTGAAGTATCAAGAGACCCAGTGGTCATAACGGCTGGAGGAGGCTGCGGTAGGGGCGGGGTGGCAGAGTCAAGTCTAGAGCCTTGAGTGGGCATTGCAAGGTTTTCGCGGGGATTATCCGTCAGAGGAGCCAAGGGTGAGGAATGTGGAACGCTTTTTGGGGGCGTAATCGCGCTTGTATCCGGTGGCTGCAGAGGGCGTTGGACCAGCAATTCCGTCACCTGGTCATCTTTATAAGGGCAAGGATTGGGGGCTAGAGAATCATGAAGTTGAGTAGGAGGCAGTGTATCCAGGCATTCCCGAAGAAGCTGAGCAATCTCCTCATCATCAATCAGAGCGGGTGACTGAGGGTTGACCTGTTTAAGCTGCAAGAGAATCTTGCCTATCTCTTTCGATCCACCTTTGAGAGCGTAAAAGAGTGGTGTTCGACCGTGATTGTCTTGCGAATCGGTGTTGACCTCTGCGCGTTCCAGAAACAGCTTCACGGTTTCCACGCTTCTTGACATTGCAGCATAGAAGAGGGGTGTTCTGCCCTTATGGTCCAGCAATTCAGTGTTGACCTCTTGCCGTTCCAGAAACAGCCTCACAGTTTCAACGTTCCCTGACCATGCAGCATAAAAGAGGGCTGTTCGGCCCACATTGTCCTGAAATTCGGCGTTGACCTCTTCCCGTTCCAGAAACAACTTCACGACTTCCACTTCTCCTGATGCCACAGCGTAAAAGAGAAGTGTGGTACCCTGGTTATCCTGCAAGTTGGCGTTGACCTCTTCCCGCTCCAGAAACAGCTTCGCGGCTTGCACATGTCCTGATATCGCAGCGTAGAAAAGGGGTGTTCTACCGTTATTGTCCTGTAATTCGGCGCTGACCTCTTTCCGTTCCAGAAACAACTTCACAGTTTCCACACTTCCATTCTTAGCTGCGTAGGAGAGGGGTGTCCTACCCTCATTATCCCGTAATTCGGCGTTGACTTCTTTTCTTTCCAGAAACAGCTTGACGGCTTCCACTGTTCCCCACTCGGCAGCGTAGGAGAGGGGAGTTCTGCCCTTATTGTCCTGCAATTCGGCATCGACCTGTTCCAGTTCCAAAAACAACTTCACGACTTCCGCTACTCCCAACCCGGCAGCGTAGGAGAGGGGCGCTCTACCCTCATTGTCCTGTAAT